GGCAATTTTTGGTGCTATTTAATGCACTCTGACATCATATTTACATTAAAAGTACAGAAAGAAAATCTCAGTGTGAATCCATTACTTTTCATTGTGAATTAGAAAATGCTTTGGGGGCCACCTGGCACCCTATCTTAGGCCAGATTTGGCCCACAGGCTGTAAGTTGCAGTACAGTGTTTAATATTGATTGTTCCTATCAACAGCAGTCGAGCAACGGCTTATGCTGGGGTACGCCAACGCCACTTTAATATTAATAATGGTCTGACAAGCTGTTGGAGTAAGCATGGAGCTCACACTGTAACTAACTGCACTCCCTGAAGAAATAATATCACATTTTTGGAGAAATGAAAGAGTGATTCCAGAGAGAAGCAGACAGAGGGGTCTACAGTCTGTGTTTGAAGGATATATCCAGGATGTCAAACTGACTCAGCAGCAACAACAGGTTAAAAAGACAAAGATAGTTAGAAGCTAAAGCCAAACTATAGGCTACAGATCACAGTGTAAAAGTGAACCACCACATCACTGCTGATCGCCACACAAGACAATGAATATAAAGGGAAACTTTGCTGATATTGAACCAGCTGTGTGGCATCGCAGTGTGTGCAGATGAACGGTGTTTGGCTTTGCCCCCGTGCTGCTGCCAGCACCTGGACCTCCTCCGCCAAACAATGTTCATCTGCGCTCAATGCGTTGAGACATAGCTGGTTGAATATCAGCAAAGTTTCCCTGCTTCCCTTCACTGGTTCCTGTACAGCAGGGTCGGCCTTTGTTTCACTGTTATAATCATTAAAAAGCAAAAGCAGCATGTGTATACATTCAGTAGGCTGTATCTTCAGTAGCTAGCTAGCTAACCCTACACTTTTCAGGGTTTGATTTTGGAACAGGGAAGAAACATATCTTTTTCCAACCTCTCCAGGTAACGAGTATCATTAATACACGACGTGCCCCAGGCACAACATTTAGCTCCAAATCCACAAAACCAGCCTGAAAATGAAGGAAATCTGAAACGATTGTATTAGAGTCAATGGAGCACAGCTGTGTTGGTCTCGAACCCTGGTCTGAGCCGTGGCATTTTAAAGCATATTTGAATATTGGGAGGTGTGTGTACAATATGTGTTATAAATTATTGCCTTTGTTCAGTGGACATGTTCTTGTTAGATGAGCACCGTTTTTCTGCCATATTGGCTGCTAGACACAATACAACCTCTTCTGTCACTGAAAAAAAAAATACAAATGGAAGAAACAAAGGTGGTTTAGTTCTTTTTCAGTATTTTTATCTCTTCATCTCTCTTATACACACACGCACACACGCATGTGGACACACCAGGAGATGGTTGGTTTGATTGGTCTAAGCCTGTGGCCAGAGATAACAAGGTGAGACACAAAGAAACCTCACAGGATCTTCACAGTTTACCTGCTTTTAAGTTTATTTCTACTTACTTACTGGATACTGCTGTCTTGATTCTCTCAGGCCTTGCCAAGGAAGATTCACTGTTTTGCAGGTGTTTTAGTTTAACACCCAAAAATAAGACATGACTTTACCTGATTGCTTTACATAACATTCTGTGCAGTTAGGTTGTCACAAAAAGAAATATCAGAGCTATATTTGCAGTGGAAGTTGATGAGGGAGGAGCAGCAGTGTGTGATTCTGCTGTGTGTGTGTGATCAGTGAAAGGTTGTGGGTCACAGTGGATTTCCTGTTGTTTGAGGTTGACAATCAGAAGTGAAATAGTGGAAAAAAAAAGAGCAGAGACCACTCACGTTCTTTCCGCCTATCCTGCACAAAATGCAATCATAGTCGCAGCTCACTTTATCTGATCACTTCATATTATATCTGTTGATGTGCATATATGACAGGCAGCTCACAGGAAATGTTTCTGTTGTGTGTAGCTGAACAAAATCGCTTTGTCATCTCTTACAGTCCCAGTATCTCGATGGATTTGTGATATAACCCTTATCAGGGTGCAAATTGAGGTCAGTCAATCACCTGCATTAGAAGAAACAGCAGTCTTGTGTCATGAGCATTTTGTAATTCACCACACACGCTCAGGTACTCTGCATTTAAAAGGTGTGTGCTGCCTCAGACTGGCCGTCCTCCTCAGTAGCCTTCTGGTGATCCCTGTGGCACCAGGTAAAGAGGGCACACACTGACATACTAACACACACTCGCAAGAAAATCTGACACAGTTATGCACGGAAACGCAAATACTACTGTGTACGAGCACGAGACGTAAGAGCTTGTGTGCAGAAAACAATCACACACCTTCAGTGCATTTGTGGAAGGAAGAGAGATAAAGATGACAGGAATAGATAAAGGAGACTGTTTGAAAAAATATGACAATATGGTTATGCTGTGCTTCCTGGATGTGTGGCGTCATTCAGAGTTATTTGTGACGCAATGTGAACTATGCACAGTGTGAACTTCACACTTGTAACCAACACAGATGTTTGTGGTGCTTTAGTGAATCAAATACATCCAATTGTCACAAAAATCACCACCGAGCAAAAGGCTGAGGGGCGTGAGAGCTCGCACAGATCAGGGGCACGGGGGGAGGTGAGGAGAGAGGGGGGGGGGGGCCGTTACTGGCAGTGATGAAGGCAGAGAGAGTGCATTACTGGCAGCTGTGTCCTTTATGAGCGAGACAGAGAAGGATTCACAAAGACAGAAGTGACATGAAAGAGGGACAGTCAGAGCGAAAGAGAAGCCAGTCAACCACTTGAAAGCGCTCTGAGGTTGACACCTTCGTGTTCTCCGCCTTTCTCCACTTGCAAATATTCCACGTCCTCAGAAGACTCCTCTCCTCGCCGTATTTGATGTTATTTTGTTCATTATTATTAAGGCAGAAGGTGTTTGAGAGGAAAATACCTTTGGTTCACTCTGGTCACACAATAACTGATAGATGTTTAAGGGGAAGTACAGCACAAGACCAAAGTTCTCACAGTGGATCTTTTCCAGTTTACTGCTTTGGGTAAAAAATATGCAGTGTCATTATGATTCGAGTTGGCGGCTTCTCCAGTGAGAATCAGTGTACTGTAGGAGTTAAGATTTATGTCTTTATTGGATGTTAAAATGATATAAAGATAAAATATGTAACTTTACCACATTAAAATGTCTAAGAATTACAATACATTTCATTAAGTTGTGTGCCTACTTGTCCCAAACCTTTCCAACAATGTTCAAACCCAAAGAAATCTGTTATTTTAATCAAGGTTCGTGACATGCTTCGTGTCCGTCGCCTGTCAGTGCAGGGTTTCCCACACATTTAAGTATTTGTGGCGGCCTGCCACGATTAAAACGCCTGCCGCCACAAATAGATTTTCTATTTCTGGAGTTGGACTGCTCATTGGGAGCGCTATTGGAATATATAAACTGTCCGGTTATTTGTATCACCACACTGCCAGAGCGCAGAGCACATTTAGGGCAGAGATGGAGCAGCAGATTGTTGGGCGTTCCTTCTGCTGGGTCCCCGTTAAAGGGTTTTTTGGGGGGAGTTTTTCCTTATCTGCTTTATAAATAAAATTGAATTGAATTGAATTAAAAGTTTGCATTCACTCGCAGCAGCTGCTTCTCATTCATCGATCTGATCTGGACAGCTCCACAAATCAATTATCCACCCTGCAAGGTACAAACTGGAGAGCTCCGCCTGCGCTGCGTTCATGGACCCACAAAAAACTCTGAATTTAGAGACAGGACACAGAACAACCCACTATGTCGTCGGCTACCATCACACATAGGCCCAATTCCAATCCGGCCCCTAAAGACTCAAGCCCTGAACCCTCACTGACTTAACTGACGTCAACTGTAAGTGATTGAGTTTGAGAGTCTGAAAGGGCTCTGGATGCTATAAATAGGAATGGGACAGCACTTATCCCCCTCTCTACAAAATGTTGTTGACACTGGCGGCTCTGGGTGTGATCATTTATCAATTATTGTCAGCACACACAAGGCGTGTGTGACTCCCTGATCAGTCAATCCTTATCCAAGCACTTGCGTTGCAAAATGGGCAAGAGGTTTGAAATAATGAATTTACTGTGTTTTTACCATATGTTTTTTCTAAACTAGCATCAAAAGTGTTGTAAGTGATATAGTGATATCTATCTTATATATATATATCTATATCGTTACCGTTTGCAGATCTGCTGACCATGTTTATTTGTTTACAGTTTTTTTTTTTTTAACACTTTAACACACCGGTGTTCAGAGGGCAACCCCTGCATTTGACGTCACAACGCTATGAACTGTGGGTAATTTCCTTACCGTAAGTCTGCATCGATGCTGACCTACGGTAAGGGGGCATAAAGGGCTCACTCACTGACTCACTGACTTGACGATTTGACAATGGGACAGCCCTCACACACTCACGCACTTCACATGAACGCGCCTCTAAGTCAGTGAGTCTGTAAGGGATCAGATTGGAATTGGGCCATACACTCTAATTCTGTGAAAAACACTGCAGTGGCGTCATATCCTCTTTGCACATGTATCAGGTTTGTGGTTGTTTGTTTTCAGATGTGCAGAACATCTTTGGAGAAACACTGATTTTTAACATGAAACTGCTTTATTCAGTATTTTTTACTGGTTCTATCACCTGGTCCATTTTATTTTATTTTTTTTTTTGAGAGGAGACCTCTGCAGATGATTCAGCCTTGGTAAAAACCTCCTGAACACTGAACACTGAAGGAATCCTAACAGGGAGAAACTGATTGCAGTGATGGCTCTGCTGTGTTTTTTGGTTACTGCTCTGAATGAGAGAGGCCTAGCAGCAGAAAAATACATGTTGTACTTTAAATGTTATTCAAAAAACATTGACTTTTGTAATATTTAATTTCATTGAGACATTTCATGACCTGCTCAGCTGCTGAATGAAGATCAGGTTGGCTCAGTTGTTTTCTCCCTGTTGGTGTGAGTGACAGTGAAGTGGCATCTGTGTGAAGGAGATTAGATGAGATGCTGCATATCTAAAAATGTTAACATAACTACTCTTTTGTGTTTGTTCAGCCCAGATTGAAGTTATCCCATGTAAGATCTGCGGTGATAAGTCCTCTGGAGTGCATTATGGAGTCATCACTTGTGAGGGCTGCAAGGTGAGATGACAGCACCCAGCACATACTTACTGTGGGGGGGACTATAGTTATTTTCTACCATTTTCATCATTTATTGTGTGTTCTTGAAGTCACTTTCCACTAATTTAGCTCTTAGTATCTTGCCTTCCCATAAAAGAAAAGAGGCTACACTTCCATGGAGACCATTTATTAGTAAGAGATGTACTTTTTTTAAGGGCAGTCAAATGAGTAAAGTAGGATGAGCATAAACTTTCGCTCATGTTTTACCCTGTTAATCTGTCTCTTAAAGTTCCACCCTGTCAGGCAAAATCATAAAGAAAATCAGTCTGATGAAAAAAAATGTAAATACATATTTTATATTAAAGTTCTGTTTATGTGCAGAATGTTAGAAAGCTAAATCTCAATCACTCACAGAGCTAAGGCTAATTCAGCTCAAAGTTTTCCTCCCTGATAGATCTATAAACCAGTATAAACCAGTCCACCCAAAAGGATTCTTATGTGAGTGTGTCATTGGCCAATATTAGGGTGCTTTCACACCTGTCCTGTTTAGTTCGGTTCAATCAAACTCAAGTTCGTATGCCCGCTAAGTGCGGATCATTTGGGCAGGTGTGAACACAGCAGTCACATTTTTGTAGGTCTTGAATATGATTATTGATATCTGCCTCAAACACCATGTTTCTGTTGGGCTCTGTTAACCATGCTGTACCCATCACCCCTCAGGGATTTTTTCGGCGCAGCCAGCTGCCTACTGTATCGTACTCCTGCTCCAGGCAGAACAACTGTCAGATTGATCGGGCCAGCCGCAACCGCTGCCAGCACTGCCGTCTGCAGAAGTGCTTAGCACAGGGCATGAGCAGAGATGGTGAGACACAAACACATTGAGAGACACATGGACAAACTATATTCCATCATTTGTTTATTTCTTTAAGTGTTAATGTTTGTCTCCTCCTCAGCTGTGAAGTTTGGACGGATGTCCAAACGTCAACGGGACTCTCTGATCGCTGAAGTGGAGAGGCACCGACAACAGCAGCAGCAGCAGCAGCAGCTTCAGGGAGACGCCCAGTCTCTCTTGTCCTTCCCCAGCAAAGCCCGTCAGGACCGCTCCCCACAGCTCCTTCAGCCCATGGCCGCAGCCTACTCCTTCAACGGGGACACTGAGCTGCTGTCCTACACCGCTGAAGTTCACCCTTACTTGGTGTGCTCCCCGAGCGAGTCGCAGGTGTCGGGAATGATCTACAGAGGCTCTGGTGTGTCTCCCACATCGAGATCCCAGGGGAGAGGGGACAACAGTGGACACCCTGACATAAGAGGTGAGGCTCTGATGTGTAAACACATCACTGTGTGCAGTTCCCCCTCGTCCTCCTCTGCTTATTTCTTATTTGTCTTCTCTATGCTTCATAACAGGCTTTGACTCCAGACAGCCATCTCATGACCTGGTGGCGATTCATCCCTGCAACCCTCTGGAGGATCCGTACAGCCTCTACCCTCACTCTCTGAGAAACATAGGTGAGGAAACAGCACAGTGGGCTGACATGCATGCAACTGTATTTATATTTTCAATATTTACAAGTGTTTATTTTTCTGTTTTCTCAGATGAGCTGTGTGCCAGCATTGTGCGCTCCCACAGAGAGACCAGCCAGTACAGAGTGGAGGAGCTGCAGGCTCTCAGATGGAAACTGCTCAGCAGAGATGAGATCCAAGCCTACCAGAGCAAAGTAAATCAACATGATAACTATCTTTTTTTTTGGTTCCCAGACTGTCTTTTGCATTTGTGTGACCCTACTCAGTCTCAAAACAAAACATGTCATTTCAGATGGCTTTGATTCATCAAACTGAAAACTGAGAAAGCTTTTATTATTTTCCCTCTTCTTCTGCCTCTTTGATCACACAGGAAGCTCATGTTCAAGTTAAAGATGACAACTTTGTTGACTCCAATTTCATTTCAGCAGCACATATACTATGATATCCAATTACAGTATTTACAGAGATAAAACACAGAAACTTACTCTGCTAAATCTGAAGAAAGAGCAGTAGGCTGGACAGTGAGGACGAGTTTTGTGGGATGAGTAAAAGATTCTGTAAAGCAGTTGTTCCCAACTGGTGGGTCTCTGTCCAAAAGTGGGTCAGCAAGTGACTTGCAAACATGTCAATTTAGTAAAAAAACAAACAAAACAAAACAAAAAACACTTTATTTTGGATTACAGTGAATATCCAGAACAGGGTTTTATTTTAAGGCACTGTTTCCTGCTAGTGACTATAGGACAGCTGCTTGACAAAGACAGCTCGACGACATGGTGAAATGCAAGTATGAAGCTGAATATATTAAACTGTGTGGACCTTGAACTCTTGACTAAGGAAGAATCTGGACCCTGTGGTTGAAGCAACCACTGCAATAACAACATACCAAACTTAAATCGACAACAAACAGCTATTTTCAGATATAGTGGAGTAATGGCCTCCTGAGCAGAGAATGAAGTCACACTCCCTCTGTGTGTATGGTTATCTGAGATTCTCTGTTCCTTGTTGTGGCAGATGGTCTGGCCACGCATGCATGTTAGTGCATGTGAGTCCCTATGTGGGTATCCCACTGGCTAGCCAATTGCCGCCCCTCTGCACTGCATTCATACAATGGTTACAGCTGATAACGAAGATGGCGTTGTTACAAATGTATGAAGCTTTGTTAGTGCTTTGTTTAGTCTGTACGGGCAAAACTTCTCTGCCAGTCTTCCCTCGAAGGTGTCTCTTTTGAACAGAAAAATGCATTGGACACCTAGCAACAAAAATTCAGGTGCTGCGACAGCTTTTGGAGCTTTCATGCTTAACGCAAAAGGGGGATTACATCATTTTCTGGCATGGGCAGCTGATGCATAAACTGCTTAAGCATAACCTTAACTTAACACCCACCCTCGGTTAGCCCTGTTAGCTTTGTCAGCACTGTTGCCGTTGTTGGCACTGTTCTCGCAGCCACCTCCATGTTGAGAACCATGTGCAGACAATCCCAGCTCAGACTCAGAATTCTAGATACGCTCTAAATGTTGCATATAGGTATTGTAAAATTTTAGTCCCCTCGTGGTTGATTTGAATGTTGTGTTGAAATAAACTCACCTCAAAATATGTTCTTCTCCGTCTTACTCTCACTCCCAGTCGGTGGACGAGATGTGGCAGCACTGCGCCATCCGACTGACCGATGCTGTGCAGTATGTGGTGGAGTTTGCAAAACACATCCCAGGCTTCCGTATGCTGAGCCAGAACGACCAGATTGCTCTCCTGAAGACTGGTGAGTTCACCTGTCACTTACAAGAAGTCACCGTCACCTACAGTTACAATCTAAAATGCTTTAAATCTCTCTCCTACCTTCTTTTAACATGTCCCTTCTTCTCCCTCCTCACTCAGGCTCCATGGAAGTGGTTCTGGTCAGAATGAGCCGCTACTTCAACACGGAGAACAACACCGTCTTCTTCGATGGCAAATTCGCCGGTGCTGAAGTCTTCAAGTCTTTGGGTGAGGATTTTTCTACATGTTGCTCCAAACTGAGGCACAAAGGCAGTTCTGAAACCATTCGTGCAGCGAGCACAACTTATAAGTTTGGTGGTTTATCAGTGCTCTGTGGTTTCTTTTCTTGCAGCATGTGGAGATTTAATTGCAGCAGTGTTTGACTTTGCTCACGGTATGTGTGCTCTAAAGCTGACTGAGCAGCAGATTGCTCTCTTCAGCGCTCTGGTGCTGATCAACACAGGTAAGATCAACTCGCGTGTTTCTCACTTCCACTGCATTTCATTCTTCCGTTTTGTGGGAAGTGGGAAGACACTGCAGTAGAGACAGTTGGTTACCAGCAGTACAAGCATCATATTTCAGGCTTTGCACTCTCCATCAGGCAACATCCATTTTTCTTACCGTTTTAAAGATAATTTTTCTTTCCTTGTTCTGCAGGATTTGTCTTCGGCTGTGTTTTAAGATTTATATTTATGGTTCTTGATGGCCGTATCTAGTCAGAGAGCACATCTTATAAACAATGTAGTGTTCCCTGATACAGTCATTCTGTTTGTATGGCATAGGGAAAAAACCTTACCTTACCTTACCTTACCTTACCTTACATCACACTGTGATGTCAAAATCTGGCGCTTGGGCAGTGACTTGACCAATGACAAAAGGCATCCTTTAAGGTTGGCGGGATACATGGCCAGTTGCTGTTATAGTTTAATGGGGGCTCGGTGGCATCAGGGGGAAACGCGGTGGGACAAGGATGAAAGTTACTGTGGCGAAAGTCAGACTGGGGCAGGTGTTAGGTGTTGAAAGCGTCCAACAAACAACAACTTTCAGCCAAGAGAGCGGTGTTCGCCTCCTGTAAGATTCTAAAGCCAACTCGTTCTTTTTCCCTAAACCTAACCACGTTGTTGAAGGGAAACAATGTAATTTCACAGTGTTGTACAGACGTAGTGCTTTTATTTTGAAAGAGACTGTATGTAAAATTAAATTTCCTGTGAAAACGGAAGTGTATTTTGAGAGAAGATAATGCATGTAACAGGCAGAACTTGACACGGTGTCCCAGAACCTCAACAACCAACGCACCCAGGGTACCTTTCACCAAGTCCATGACCAAATGTCGATATGTGACGAGGTCAGAGTGAGAATGTGTTGTACGTTACCATACCCTACCTTATATTACATTATAGTACATTACATTATCTTACCTCACCTTACCTAACCTTAAGTTACCTTAACACAGACCATGTGCTGAGTTTCTGATTGGTCCAATTTGAAATGTTATGAATGCCCCTTGTGATAATGCCCCCCGGTCTCACCTAGGTTATTCATTTTGGTCCAAATGTAGCTGATGACAGACATACTTTTCATCACAAGTGCAAAAATGTTTGTAAAACAATTATTGCCCAAATAATTACTTCTTTTAAACACCCTTCTCAGCTTTATATTTTAGTCAAAAACAGACATATGTCCAAAAACTGTTGGACTGACAAGTACGAGTCCTCCTAGGGCATCTTCTCCATCACATTTGGCCCTGTAGTGTCCCTCATTCATCCCCACACAGTTACCCTCTCTGCCCCCCAGTGGCTGATCATATACATATTAACATGCCACACAATGAACCAGGACTATTCTCACATATGTAGAGTGATTTTAATCTATTGTAAGGTTTTAAAAAAAATCTATCTTTGCTTTTTCTGTCTGTCTGTCTGTGCAGATCGTCCATGTCTGGAGGACAGAGGCAGAGTTCAGCGAGTGCAAAGGAGCGTTGAGTTTGGACTCACACACATTCTACACCGAGACAACCAAGAAAGTCTAATGCACAAGGTACATGTCTCGGCACAGAGCAGATACTCTCTCTGTATTTACTGTCTCCAAACATGTTATTATTTGACCTGTATGTCCCTCACTGAAGCAGAAAGCAGACTGTCTGATTGTGTCTATTGCCCCCCCCCCCCCTCCCCCACAGTTGTACCAGAGGATGGCAGTGTTGCGTTCACTGTGCAGTCTGCACATGGAGAAGCTGCACTGGTTCAGTCAGCGTTATCCACTCACCGCTCACTCTCTGTTCCCTCCACTCTACAAGGAGCTGTTCGCCTCTGAGGCAGAGCTGCTGCCAGGGACCACTCACTGATGATTCTCTCGAATATGCAAAGACACATACACACCTACACACACACACACACACACACACACACGCACACACACACACACACACACACACACACACACACACACACACACACACACATTATTTTAAGTCTCATCATTACTTCCTAATAGAATCTATTTTTCTAATAATGAAATATGAGAGAAGCACAATAATCGTAGCGTGTTAGGTATAACATGACTTCCAGCAGAGCTCTTTATTAGATTGTGTCAAACATAAATTTCAATATTTTGATAGCTTAAAACTATTTTTTGGTTATTCCAGGGAAACATGCATTTTGTTGTTCTTTGACAGCACATTGTCCGTGAGGTACAGCATTCATTTTCTCTCAGGATGTGCTGTTATGAGTTACAGTCACTGTGTGTCACAGTGCGTTCAGACACAAAGATTCAAAGCAGCGTTATACCAGTCGTTGTCAACTAAGACCTAATATGGTAGTCCACCCAAAATCTGTCCTTAGAGCATTCTCTGCTTGCACAGTGTTGACTGATGTATATCCGTTTTACAAACTGCATGTGTTTACTTCCTGTCAACTCTGCAACATTACCCTCGTCTCTGACCACACTGCTTATTCATCCTAAAGTTAATGACTTCACTTTTTACACTTAGCCTTATATGCTCTGTTAATAGCATTTACTGTTAGCATTGTCGCCTCACAGCAAGAGGGTTCCTGGTTTAAACCCAGGGTGGGGGAGCCCCTCTGTGTAGAGTCCACATGTTCTCCCTGTGTCAGCGTGGGTTTTCTCCAGGTGCTCCAGCTTCCTCCCACAGTCCAAAGACATGCAGGTTAATTGGTGACTCTAAATTGTACATAGGTGTGAATGTGAGTGTGAATGGTTGTCTCTATGTGTCAGCCCAGTGATAGTCTGGTGACCTGTCCAGGGGTGTACCTCGCTTCTCGCCCAATGTCAGCTGGGATAGGCTCCAGCACCCCTGCGACCCCTAACAGGGTAGGTGGTTACAGAAAATGAATGAATGAACAACGCTAATGGTGAACAGTGAAGTAACTAACTTATGCTTACCATAAAGTCTGACACCCTCTCACATCTGAAGACAATGTGAAGACTCGTCAACCAAACATGGCTTAATAGTGACAATTTCAAACACAAGTCCGCAAATTGGCTCCACTATAACTCACAGCATTCACAGGTAAAGCGTCTGACACAGTTTCCTCCACAAATACAACATGCTACCATTATTAGCACAAGCCTATGGCATTTTACATTGTATAAATTAGCCTAGCGATGAGTGGAGATTTCCTTTGCTCATATGAAGACCAGGATAAATAATAATAAGACTTAAAATGCAATTGTGTGGAGGCTTTATTATCGTCATAATTTATGGTTTCTTATCTGTGAAATCAAAGTAAATGAGGGAAGTGGCTTCAGCTTACAAAAATAGACAGGGGATCTGCATTGCCAGGCATGTTGTTACATTTCTGGAAAGGTGCATATCAGGCTACAGTGTAGGCTCTATGTTGACGCAGAGCCTAAGCAGTAGTATAAATCACACATAAGAATGGCATAAATGATGAAAAAGCACTTTTATCTCAAAGGTTGGCGGCAAAGTTAACGTTGCCATGGAGCTGACAGGAAGTAAACAGACGTGCAGTTCGTACAACAGATGTACGTCACACTACATTGTGCAAGAATCCAGGATCCAGCAATAACGTGTGCAGGCAGAGCCAAAAAACATGATTATGCATCTCCCTCTGAGAAGTAACCATCACATGCCAGGTGTGAAACAACAACATTAAGCAATCGGAGCAATAATTATATGTGCACACTCGATTCAACAGTACTGTTACAGATCTTTTGTAGTGACTGCAGATTCATAACATAACGCACATTACACAATCCAGCTCTCAACCACTAGTTGCTTCTCACCTGAGTTTCTCTCCCTTTCAGGAGCCTGCACCCACATATTTCGTATTTAAGATTGATATATTGCTTAAAAAGTATTCCCTATAAAACATAGTGTGTGTCAATTACATACTCAGGTCTAAACACCAGAAAACAAGAGACAGCCTGCTTCTTTGTACCTGTACGTCTGTAGAGAAACTTCTCTCCTCAGGTTGATGTTGTCACAAACTGACTAAAGAGTCCAACAAAGCAGCATTACCTCTAAAATGTTATCCTGTGTTTGAATAAATCCTCATAGGCTTTTATATCTTCTGAGCTTTGAAAAGACGTTGCATTAAATGTAGAAATCAAAATTGTGAGAGCTGCAGTAGAAGTCTCTTCCTCTGTGTGCAAAAGTTTCCTCTTTTTTTTTTCCAGATTAACTCGTGAATGTTTTGTTTTCTTTACATATCTTTGAATAAAGCCATGAGCAAAGAGAAAATGATGAGCGGTTTCAGCATTAAGTACTGTATGTCTGGATGTAGTGCCCTCTGTTCCTGGAACAGCTGAGATTATAACGAAGATAATTCCATGTAAATCTTCTAATAAACTGCTGAGGCTGTGACACCAGATGCTAACTTTATTTTGTCTGTTTCTTTAAACTGTGTAATATAAACTGTTTTGTAAGACTGAGACATGCAGGACAAAAAAAAGCTCCTGTTATGGTGTGATAAGAGAAATCTCAAGGCAAACAGTTTATTCATACCCCGGAGTGAACATGATTTATCATCTTGAGCAGTATATTAAACATCCAGGCGTAGTTCCTGCACCATACTGTAGAGTTGTTGCTGCAGCAGTCAACACAGAGGAAACATTAGTCATTGTGGGTGACCCTTCGACAGACTCTGACAGTGGAAAGTTATTATCAGTTTGTCACGGACAAAAACTGTTGCTAACCAAGTTAAAAGGAAGCAAATTAAAACACTGAGTCAACAGGGTGCGGTAAATATGAACATATTCCTACAAAAAGCCACAAAGGACTTTTGTCAAATGTTCCTCCAGTCAGGGTAGAAAGTTGTTAGGTGATGTGCAGCTTTCTAAATCCAATGATTTTTGCTTTTATATTTCACTTTGATTGAATAAAACATTAGGTACACAGTCCTTGTTGTGCTGTTCTTTCTCTCATGCTGAACAGAGCACAACTTTCTGTTAATTTAATTGCCAGTTTACCACTGGTGGTAACTATTACGCCCACAGTAATGCCTCTTTTAATTTCCTCTCCTGTGGTTTCTTCTTTCTTTCTTTTTTCATGTGTTGTAACTTTCTGTTGCAGTCCCGGACCTGTTAAGACATTAAAGTTTAAGTTTGAATAATTTTCTGTCACTACATCCACAGCACTAAATGTGACAAATCATCTGTGGAAAAAATTCACACTCCTCTACCTACTCTGTTGCCTTGTAGTGCCTCTGATGGCATTACAGCATGTGAACAAAGCAACCAATCAGAGCAAAGGAGCCTCTAGTGCAGCTGTCAATCATGCAGTTTTTATTTATTTGTTTAACCTTTTTTTTTTTTTAAAACCAGGAAGTCCCATTGAGATTGTAAATCTCTTGTAAAAGAGCGACCCAACATAGCGGCCTCTCAAGAAAAACAAGCACACGTCTGTATCGCCACATTCTTATGACGCCCTTAAAGTCATCAATGGATACAAGTGTTTCTAATTTTTGTTTTTGAAATCACTTCTTGTGAACTCTGGCCAAACCAGGCAGCGCTGATCTAATATCTAATATAATAATCAAGATTCTGTCACTGCAATGTTTATTTCTCACCTCAAATGTTTTCAGAAACATATTTTAGTGTACTGTTTAGCTGTGAAATGAGAAGGTTTGTGACCTAGCCGCCATGTTGAAAAGAGTTGGGCCAAAAGGAAGCACCACACACCAGCCAAAATGAAAACTCTCACAAGGAGGATAAAACTACAAACAAAAAACACTCTCTTGGAGGATCAAACAATTGTACTAAGGCTCACAAACAAAACAAAAACCTGGTAACATGCATGCATGCTTGCATGCATGGATGGATGGCTTGGACGCTAGACAATACTCTCCTGATCAACATGACAAAACAAACTGACACAAGACAAAGGGAGACAAGGACTATTTATACATGAGGTAGGGGGAACACAGGTGAGACCAATCAGGGAGCGAGGAGACAATCACAGTGGCGGGAAAATCACACAAAGGGAGGAAGCCAGGGTCTGAAACGAGAGGGAAAACGGTGAGTACAAAATAAAACAGGAAGTGCAAGACGAGACTAGACATGAGTGACTTTAACTTAACATAAAAGTGCTCAGTGAAAGACTAAACATAAAACTAAACTAAGGCATGATATGATCAACATAAAACATAAACATGAATTAACAGATTTTGCGTGACGTGACATACACTAAAACCTGTGCTTCAACAGGAGGTCTGTGACCTCTGGGGGGTCCTCAAAGTTACTGGGGCCGCCAAATTATTGTTTGATAATTTATGTTTTATTTATTTTAAAAAAATCTAAATATGTCTGAAAATACACATGAAGATAAGATAAGATAAAAGATAAGATAAGATAAGATAAGATAAGACAGAACTTTAATAATCCTTTACAGGAAATTAAAAAATGTCAAGGCAGCTAAACCTAATGAAACCATGAAATCTACATACATTACACAACAATAATGATAGGCTAACTGTTACCATGAATCCTTGTGCAATCCAACCCGGTCTCATTCCAAGGTTGTCCAAATCCAGTGGCAGGGGAAGTGGATAAGTCCAATAAACATCGACTTTCACCTGAGAGAGCAGTGCTCGTGTCCCGTAAGATTCTAAAGCCAAATCCTGTTCTTTTATCCTAGCTCTAACCATGTTCATTAGTTAGTTAACTGAAGGCGTTAAATTTCCTGTGAAAATGGAAGTGTATTTTGAAAGAAGACAATGTATGTAACAGGCAGAACTTGACATGGCGTCCCAGAATGTCAAGGCGCAGGGTACCTTTCACAAGCTGCTGCTTAGTTAGCAGCTACAGGCAAGTGAAAACAAGAAGACTGGAAAATAATAAGAGAAGAACATATATATATAATATATGTAAGAGAATATGCAGAGAATTGTCTCAAGTGTAGCTCACTTTAATTGAATAAAGGGTGTCCTTGTTCTGTTTCTCTTTGAGTTAAGAAGTCATTGTCCTGAAAAATGTTGAAGACCCCCGCGCTAAAATGTGTTTCTGAAAACATTTGAGGGTGATGCAGTTACAAAATGTTGATTTAAATTTGATCAGTGCTGCCTAGTTTGGCCATAGTGATTGACATAACTGACAGCTGCTTTAGAGACTCCTCAGCTCTGATTGGTTGTTCACAGTGCTCTGCAGTAGATTGTGGCAAATGCTAGCCTCGCGTCACCAGGCTCTTAACGTAAGGCCAAGAGCCTGGTTTCCATTCACTCTGAATTTTGTCTGGATTCTGGTTCCGGTCTAGAGAGCAGATCCGGAATTCACCAAATTCACCAAGGTAAAAGTGTTCACCAAAGTAAAACTTTAAATTCTGGCGCACCATCGATTTACAATAAAAGAAAAAGGTTAACTTAATGGCTTGGGGCTTTTCTTGTAAATTATATTCTTTAAATTAAAAAGTTTCACCGCATTTTTATTAGCTTGGTGCTTTTATTTTGATGGAAAGGCGCATCCATTGAATTCTAGATCCTGTCTCTCTCGCCCTGGTTCCGGTTCCTTACCAAAATGGCCCCAAACTAGGCAAATACCATTAGACGCAGTAGGAAGAGGAGGAGGGACATGATTTCTTTCACAGATCATCTGTCTCATGTACTTCTCTCACAATAT